GGGGGGGGGAGGGGGAGGCTCGGTGCCCTACCTCGCTGAGGGGCACAGCTCTGGAGCAAATGAATACTGGTCGGTTCACTAAGTGCCAGTGGCCCGTAAATCCCCTGAAACCCGCTGTGGACCCGGGACTCCCCACCCGCCCATATGCCCTGGAAGAGTCCCCGTTGACAGTGAGGGAAGGTGGGGTTTGTTTGCACATGGGGTGGGGCGGCCTTGTCCTGGGTCAGGGCCTGGGTTTTCTCCACGAATCCTAACCTCCTGCAGGTGCGCCTACAGCCAGCAGGACACATGGGGCCTCCCCGAAGCGAGATTTCCTGGCCTGTCTGACCACAGACACCCAACTACCGTCGTGGGGCGAGAAAGAGGCTTTAGAGAGGTCACTGAAGGCGATGACTTCTCCAGCGTCCCAGGGCCCACGGAGCACTCGAAAGCTTGCTAATGTGCGGACGGTGACCGGGCAGGTGCGGGGGACCCGGGAGGACTCTGCATCTCCAAGGAGCCGCTGCGGGGCGGGGGGGCTGCTGGGGAGCAGCAGACCAGCTCTGCTCTGACCAGGCCCTGGCCGCAGCATCACCACTAGGCCTCCCGAGGGTTCGAACCCCGGCCGGGCCGAGAACCACTGATTCGGCAGAAGGCAGCCTGCACAGACACGTGGCCCACGGCCCTCTGCAGAATCTTCGACTCAGCTCGAGGCTTGCTTCAGCCGAGCTGCACACTGACTGACCGAGGAACCTGGAAAGAACCCTGTGCCAGGCACAAGGAACGAGACAGCAGGACGCATTCCTCCCCCGCGAAGCCAGTGGGTTAGTAAGAGCGACAGACTACTGACCGTTTGAGCCTGTGGAAAACGCCAAAGACAGAGGCGCTCGAGGGCCTGGGATCTCAGAGGGGGTCCCTAGCCCGGAAGGCTTCCTGGAGGAGACGGTGCGGGCCGAGTCAGAGACACACAAAGCCCACCAAGATCGCTTCGTCCGTCCCACAAAGAGTCCCCGGGCCCGTACCGTCTGTGAGTGGCCAGAAACCTCTCACCCAGAATCAAAGTCGAAGCGTGGCCGGGGGACCTCTGCTCACTGCCTGCCTGCCTCATCCTGGGCTTGTCCCACTCTGGCCTCCGGTACGAATCCTGTTTTTTTCTTCTCTGTAGCTTATGATGCTTTGACAGTTTAGGGGCCTTGCCAGTCCTGGCGACCACCCCTCCCAGGGCTAGCTCATTCCCAGAGGGGGCAGAAGACTCCCTCCCGTAGGCAAACTAATCAACCCAGAGCCCACACCCCGACTCACCTCCCTCAGCCACTACTCCTCGGCCCTAAATCACCCCAGGGCCGGGTTCCCAAGGACTAGACACCCCTACAGCCCAGAGTTCACCAGGACTATTCAGACTAGCCAATCCTAGACTTGCTCAAACGTGCCTTCCCTATCGTTACTCCACCTCCTGACCACCCAGGAGCTTCCCGGCTGGCAAGGCCCCTCCTCTTGTGACTCAGCATCTCCATCAGTTAAATAAATCCCAGCACAGATTGGTCCTGACGCCTCCTTGCTGGGCCCTCCTGCAGATACCTCCCTCCTCCAGTGCCGTGCCCCACGTCCCTGACACCCTCCATAGGAAAGCGAGCCCTCCCAGACCATGGCCTCTGGTCACTAGACGCCCATTCATTTTCTCCCACTGCAGAATGTAAGCCTCTGTTTGTCCACGGCCACACCTGCACTGTCTAGAATTCCTGGCCCACTGCAGGGGCCCGAACATTTTTGTTTCATTAAACACATTCCTCGGGAAGCCTCCTGCATTTCTCTGCAGCCGACCGGTGTCTCTCCCGCATGGGACCCTCGGGACCCCACACCCCTCAGCCCGGAGCCGGGGTCCGCTCGTATCCTGCAGTGGGTTTTGACTTTTCTGATTTGCAACGTGTCTTTCCCCCCCTTTACCTTGTTTCCTCCTTTTCGTATTCTTATTTTATTGGGCTTTTTATGAGCTGCTCCAAATCCTTCTAGAACAAGATGTATACTTTGTACAGGTGACTTCTGGTTCTCTTAACAGACATCTGAGGGGTGGGTGTGTACCGGGCAGCTGTCCACGGCTCCACAGTTGGGGGACCAGCACGCCAGAGACAACACGGCTCAGGCTAAAATCTAAACCGCTCCCTTGGCAGAAATCAAGGTTTTATCCGTCTGTGTTCCTAGTTGTCGCGGCCTGTGGTTTTACGTGTTCTGGATACGGATATTTGCCTCAAGGCAAAACTAAGGACTGTAACGGTCAGGAACATGTACACCTTAACACTCCTCGGACTGGGAACACACACACAGCGGACCGAAGTCGAGGGCATGGGTCACGACCTCTGGGTGTGGGGAGTGGGCGGGGGACAGCAGGGAGGAGACCCCGATAGTTCTGATTTCCATGCTTAAGTGGATGGTGGGGGTGAGCGTTCACCTTGTGAGCCCTGCGTCTGCGCCATAAATGTCCTCTGTTGTGGGATTGACATTTAATGAAAACACTTTTTGAAGTTTTCTGACCAGTAGGGGATGCTAAGAAGCCTTCCGGGGCCTGGAATGTTCTGTCTCTGGATGCGGAGGGCGTCGCCAGGCTGCACGGGTGCACCTCGACTCAAAAACTATACCACGCCAGCCCTTAGAGCACACACAAAGGCTCCTCCCACTCCTGCCCAAAGAGAATTAACTAGAAAAAAAATTAGTCTGCTGACTCTTGGAGTTTTTTTTTTTCTTTTCATCAAAACGCACCTCTGATGTTACAACACGCACCCGTTTATTTCTCCAACAGACCACAAACCTCCCAGACACACAGCACAGAGGGGGGCAGGGTCTGCGGGGACCCCGGCCCCTGTCCACTCACCCAAATGCTGGATCAGGGTTACGCGGGGTGGGGGGTTGCTGCTGGGGACCCCGGAGAGGCACCACGGCGGGGTGTGGGGGCGACAGGTGGGGGCACTGCAGCGGGGACCCGGGATGATAGAAGGCTGAGATGTTGGAGTCCAGCCCCAGCCTGGGCTGACTCGGGGAGGAATTAGGAATGCAGACAACAGCGTCCCCTTTCCCCGCTGGCCTCACACTTCCTTCTCAGAAGCCGGCCCTGCCAGGGCTGTTTTCTGCAGGAGCCAGTCCCGCCGTCTCTTGCCAGCTCCAGCAGCGTGAGGACGCAGACCTTCTAAACTGAGGCATACGTGCCGGTGGGCAGGGAGGGGGGCGCCTCTATAAGAGGAGGACAGGGTCCGGGACGGGGACCAGAAAGGTCAGGCTGAACCAAAGCCCAACCCACCCCCAGCCAATGGTGCCGTGGGGACAAAGCACCAGCCTCTCAACTACAAGCTGGCCGACTGCCAAAGGGACCTTCTCAGGGACCACCAAGGGGGACACAGAGGTGTCGGGCGACCGGCACGGGTGGCACGACCTCTCCCCGCAGGAACCACGGGCCGCCTGGATTTGCTGAGGAAGTCTGACTGGATCTGTTCTGAACCCACGGGGACACGATCGAACCATCCCTCCCCCTCAAGCTGCCTGGTGCCTCCTGGCGGGCCACGACGGGGATGCGGTGGGTGGGTGGGGGCCGCCTCAGTTCCCACACAGCTCACCACACACACCGGGCTGGCCAGGTGACCCCGTGTGGGTTACTCAGCCATGGTGTGCCTCAGTTTCCCCATCTGTAAAACGCAGGGGACAGGCACCCCTACATCACAGGGTCACTGTGAGGCCCGGATGGGACAAAGCAGGTCAAGAATCGCAGAGAGGTGGCCAGCACGTGCAAGGTCCCCCCCAGTGCTGCAGTGGCCGTGGCTCTTTCCCACACACAGCAGAGGCTGGGGGCCACCGTGGCAACCCTGTGTGTGGCCAGCTGCCTTCTCCCACTCCTCCTCCTCCTCTGGGAAATAGTCCCTGAATCTCCCCGTTCTCAGCCATCGGGCGCAAGTAGGAATCGCCTCGACTCCAGCTCCCGGGGCCAACCCATCACCCTGGCCACAGTGATGGGCGCTTAACCCAACTGGAGCTGGTGAGGTTTGATGAAAGTCTCCCCTGGGACGGAGACACTTCCTCCTGCTTCTGTAGAGGCCACTAAAGGAGGCGTCCTCTCGCCCCTGCACACTGTATCGTAGGTGGATGACTGTGGAAGCCACGACACAGTAGAAAGGTCTAGAGGGCTAGCGGCAGCTGCTGAGACGCTAAGGAGGAAACTGACATCAGGAAGGCGACACCTGGACCTGGAGAGGAACGCCAAGGTGCCTGGATCAAGCCTTGCCTGCAGACCGACCTGAGGGTTTCCCAGTTATGTTAGTGACAAACTTCTCTTACCGTGGTAATTCACCCGAGCTGGGTGTCCAGTGATCTGCAACCAAAAGACTTCTAATAGTTAAAATAATCAAACGTTGAATTTGGTTGTTTCTGTCTTACAAAAGCCTAAAGTCGGTCCAGGTAATCAATGTTCTAGCAGCCTTTGTCCCGTAAGCGGTCAGGCTCTCCTGACCACAGGATCCTCAGGGCTCCAGACTGCTGCGCTGTGGCACGGGACAGGAGGACCCCACTGTGGCAGGCGGCCAACCCTCCAGGCATCATAGAAGGTGGCAGGAGACATCTGACCTTCTATGGGAAGGGTCCCCAAGGAACCCGAATCAGGCCTGCCTTCTAGAAGGAGGGGTGCTGTCAGCAAGGAAGTTTTGTTTTTTTTTTTAATTTTTTTTTTCAACGTTTATTTATTTTTGGGACAGAGAGAGACAGAGCATGAACAGGGGAGGGGCAGAGAGAGAGGGAGACACAGAATCGGAAACAGGCTCCAGGCTCTGAGCCATCAGCCCAGAGCCCGACGCGGGGCTCGAACTCACGGACCGCGAGATCGTGACCTGGCTGAAGTCGGACGCTTAACCGACTGCGCCACCCAGGCGCCCCAGCAAGGAAGTATTAAAAAAGAAACCACAAGCCTAAAACGGAGTCCCTTGTGCTAAGTTCCCCATCAGCAAACCAACACTTCATACCCAAGCTGACTGCAGCTTTTTTTAAAGTAGGCTGTATGCCCGACGTGGAACTCGAACTCAAGATGCAGAGGGTTGAGTCGCATGCTCGAACCGACGGAGCCAGCTAGGCGCCCGCTAACCGCAGTTTTAGCCTCCAGGAAGGTAACCTTTCACCAACCACTCAACCTGGAATCACCTGGTCAGCCCTAGCGACGTGATCTGCCCAGCGGACCCTTCTGTTCCCAGTAGGAGGGCAGCCGTGCCTCGAAACAACTGGCTCTTCACTAATAATTTCCTTTTCCACCCCGCTTCTGCCTTTGGAAAACCTTCCACGTTTCTACCCGTCCCTGCCTTTAAAAACCTTCCTCTCTGTACCGCCCTTTGGAGCTCCTTCCTGTTGGATGGGAAGCTGCCTGATTCATGAGTCACTGGACAAAGCCCATTTGATCTTTACACTTAGGCAGCTGAAGTCCTGAAGCTTAACATATTTCATAAGGAAGCGTGGCCACAGCGAAGGCAGCTGGTCCTGCAGAGCCGGAAGGGCCTGGAGGGCACAGCTGTGGGGGGGGGGGGGGGGCGAGGGCGGGCAGGGTGACCCCCACCACCTCCCGCCCTTCGAGCAACCTGCAGGATCTTCCCAGCCCAGGGACAGCAGCCACTGGCCCAGCTCGGACAGCAGGGTTGCAGCCCCCGCCCTGTACTCTCCTCAGGCTGAGCATTTTCCCGGGCCTAGATCGCCTGCTCCTCTCCCGTAAACTGCCTTTTAAGTCCTTCACCTGCCAGTTCTTCGCTGCTGTCCTCTTATTTCCTGGAGGTTGGTCAGGTGCCCCAGCGGTCGACCCTTCATCAGAGGCCACAAAGCTTTCTGGCCGTTGGCTTTTACATTTAATAGATGGATGGTCTTCTCTGACTCAGAATCTATGAACATTTTTATTGCCATATTAGCATCTGTGGGTTTTTTTAACGAGGCTGAGAAACATTTGTATAATTTTACTAGTAGTTAACCTATATTTTCTAGAACGTTTAGGGTGTCGTTTTCCATTAAAACACAGAGTTGCTCTGATATATTGTTTTCTGGAGGGGAGGTGGGCACAGGGAGGGAGAGAGAGAATCTCAAGCAGGCTCCGTGCTCAGCTGGACTTGGGGCTCAATCTCACAACCGTGAGATCATGACCTGAGCCGAAATCAAGAGTCCAATCAGTGCCCAACCGACTGAGCCACCCAGGCGCCCCGACTGGTATATATTTTAATGTGTAATATGACCGGGGGATCTGGTTTCCAAACAGCCCGTGGTTCAAACACACCTACTGTAACTCTCTCATTTATTATGATGCTCTGATCACGTGCTGAGCTGTTACACACACACACACACACACACACACACACACACACACACACGTGCGTCCGTCATCGCTGACGGGTCTCAGTCACTCCATTAGAAGGTTTTATAGCTTGAGAGACATTAGGTCAATCTCCCATCATTGTTCTCTTTTTCTATATTCTTTATAGATCTTCTCACCGATTCATACTCCAGATGGACTGAAAAACACTAGTTTTGCACGTTAATTGGTTAATGCAGTGGATAGATCGGAGGACATCTTTATGATCTTAAAACTATTGCTTTCCCTCTCAAGGAAATGTTATTTTGCGGGTTTCCTGATTTTGTGGCTATCACAAGCGAGCTCTCCCTCTGCTGTTATTTTCCATCTAGGCAACTCTCCAGGCCCTGTATCGATGTCACTGTATTTAAAGATTTTATATTTTTTTAAGTTTATTTATTTTTGAGAGAGAGAGAGAGAGAGAATCCCAAACAGGCTCTGTGTTCTCAGTGCAGAATCCGACTCGGGGCTCAATCTCGAGCCGAAATCAAGAGTCAGATGCTTAACCGACTGAGCCACCCAGCCTCCCCTCAAGATTTTATTTTTAAGTAACCGCTACTCCCAATGTGGGGCTCGAACTCACAACCCCAAGATCAAGAGGTGGGTACTCTACCGACTGAGCCAGCCAGGCGCCCCTTGAAGTCACTGTCTTTAGAAAGTGTTTCAGCAGTGACTTCACAGACCTAAACCTTCCCAGGCAAAGACCACGCCTGCTTTGCAAGCCTTCCACCAACACCCGGTACGTAGTATCTACTGGGAAATAAAGTTTTGTTAAATTCATCAATGACGCAGGCGAGCGAATTGTGCCACCTGCAAATATGCCTCTTTGGCATATTGATTATACTTTAAGCTGGTTATTTTTAAGAAGCTGGGAGAAGCCGTGAAAACCGAGGAGAAATGACCCTTTTGTGAGAGCTATTTCCACGGAAAAGGAAAGTTCCCGAGTAAGGGTGTCTCCCTCATCACCAGGAACAGGGGAGTGACTCAATTCCCTAGAAACTCGTCAGTGGAGAAGGCTGGCTTTAAATCTGCACAACACCCTCAACTTATTCACGGCGCTTTTCCTGATGAACTCCCACAACTGACCCTCCCACCCCAACATCTCCCGTGGAGGGGGCATTCAAGGTGATGGCTTTAGCCACTGTGGGTTGTCACCCCATCTTCCCAGGTCTCTCCCATGTATGCAGGACGTATCTGTGCTGTGCAAATTCTCTCCGACCTTCTCCCCTTAACCCGTCTCATGCCAATTTGATCCGCAGCCCAGCCAAGGAACGTAGAAGGGCAGAGGAAAACTCTTCCTCCCCGACAGTGGTCATCTCACTCAGGAAAAGAGTTAACGCTCTCTGCAGAGAAGTAATACATAAAATAAACTCCACAAACGTCACTCTTCAGCGTATGAATCCTCGCTGCTTTTCCTCATAAGCAAAAATGCTTTCGTTGCATACATCAGCTAGTTTCACTTTTCACATTAGACAATCCTGCAACACTCCCAAAATGCTGTAGAAAATGAACAAAGGCAGGATTTTAACTCCCAGGATCCAGAAACTAATTCAGCAGGGCCTCCACTTGACCCCTGGGGTTCCGAGCATGAGCCTATAACCTCAGGCGTCGGCGGCAGCTGGGCCTAGACCACCCCCCACCCCCACCCCCGGGCCCGGGGCCCTCCCGCTCTTTCCCATGAAAAGAATCTCGTATGGCTTACGGAGGTTTCGCCAGGTGAGTGTCCCCCACGTGCAAGCAGATAGTTTCACAAGAAATAAGATGGCGGACGGAAGAACTGGAGGGTGTGGGGGGCACACGAGGAAGCTAAAACTTGAATGTCCACCAAACGTCCTCAGCCACAAGAGCCAAAACCGAAAGGTATCGCTATTGCGTAGACCTACTGCATAGACGCAACGATATTCCGAGTTTGGCTCCAGACTCTCAGCATAAATCAAGTAGCTCCATAAAGCGAGCCGGACAGATTTTTCTGGTTTCCCAGTGCCTGAAACATTTATAAGCACGCTACGCCGGCTTCTAAGTGTGCAACGGCATCATGTCCAAAAAGTCAACGTGCGTGCATTCGTTTTAAAATACTCTATTGCTAAAGAATGCTAACCATCACCTGAGCCTCAGCGAGTCCTAGTCACTGATCCACAGGTCACTGTAACAATCAGAATAACGGCAAGGTCTGAACCCGTTCGAGAATCACCCAAATGTGACACAGAGACACCGAGCCAACAAACGCTATGGAAACAAGGATGCCGACGGGCCTGCTCGGCACAGGGTCGCCACAAACCCAGCATTTGTAAGAAACACGAAGCATGCCTGTACCTGCTCGGGGTCTGCAGAGAACGTGTCAGCGACCCCACGCAGGGTAGCGTCCTCTTTTCTTCTTTTGCTGGGAGGGTGATTAACAGCCTCCCACTCATCGGATGTGCTGCCGGCCGCATCTACACAAACCTCTGAGGCAACTCCCTGTTGAGACACGACCCCCTTCAGACAGGGCAGGAAGACCACAGGCTCGGGCCTAGGCGGGGCCGCCCTCTGGTGAGGGCCGAGCCAGCCAGCTGGCACTGACCAGAGAGCGCCCGTCTCCCCTCCCCCCAGCCTCCTCCTTCTCCCCAGGAAGACAGCGACGCCCCGAGGGGCTCACGATGTGCCCCAGGCCACCAAGCAGGCAGGGCCGTGCTGCGTGTGCTGCTGCTCCAGACGAGGAAGAGTCTGTGAGGTGCGGGGCCTGGCCTCAGCCCTGCCCAGGGCACAGGGGGCCTGGGGCTGCCGGGCGCCACAAGCAGGAGGAGGGACAAGGGAACAAGGCCAAGAGCTTCTGGGCCAAGAGCTTCTGGACCAAGAGCTGGGGAAGGCAGGGGATCCGTGTGGAAAAGCAGGGCTATTTCCGCAAGGGGTGCCTGGAACGGGACCCACAGGGGAGGCGGATCGGAGCACACAGATGGCCCCTGGGGACCAAAGCCCAATTCGGGCAGCTCCAAAAGTCCAGGAGGCCTCCATCACCTCACAGCAGGAAGCTGTGGGAGGGAGGCACCTTCAACCCAACTCAGCCTGGCTCTAATAACACCCCTCCTCCTCCCCCCTCCCTCTCCCTCCTCCTCCTCCTCCTCCTAGCCAGGGGAAGCTACCCCAGGGAGAGAACCATCAAACAACCTCTAGGAATGAAGGGAGAACCAGCAAAAGCACCCAGTTAGTCTGCAACAAAGGGCCACCAAAGGAAAGGCCAGGCTGAGACGGTCACCCCAGCTGACAGGTGTGGTGGGAGCCCCACACTGTTCCCATTAACCACAACACCCCCCTACCCCGCACACCCACCCCGTGGCGGCTGCGTGAAGGACTCACTCCCTCGGTGGCTGGGCTGAGGCCGGCCAGGGGGCTCCTGTCTAGCTGGGGGCTTGTCCCTTGGTCCCCTGGCGGAGTCCCCCCACCCCGTGAGCACACCCCGGCTGCACACACAGGCCTGTTCTCCACCACACGCACGCCGCTTCCCGACCGTGGGGTTACGTAGGGTCGCCACAGGGCGGGTAGGAGCACGAAGCCCGGTGAGTGAATCACCAGACAACCCCGCCAGCGTCTGCCTGCTCGCTTCACTCTGGCTTCCCTTCGAGGGTGGGAACTTGCGCATTTAGGCTTTTTTAATCCCCTTCTGCAATAATACCATACAGAGCTTTACGCTGAGGTGAAGGTCACGTAGCATGCAATGAATCATTTTCAAGGGCACCGTCCGGTGGCTTTTAGTGCTTGAGGTGCGAGCACCCCACTATCTCGTCCTGGGCATTTTCACCTCCCCCGAAAGGAACCTCATGCTCTCCGAGCAGTGCCTCCCCCCTCCCCTCCGCAGCGCCCCCCACCCCCCAGCAGGGAGCTCCTACATTCACCTGAAGGTGGTCCAGGAACAGCCTTACATATCCCAGCTGCCTTCAGGGCACCCCAGAGGTCAAGACAGACCTGATTCCTCGGGAACCCCCACCCTCTGTCAGGACACAGGCCCCCACCATCGGACACCCCACGTGGGGATGCCATCAGGCACCCTATGCGGGGACCGGGGAGGTCAAGGCTGAGTTCCAATCCCGCAAACAGTGCTGTCTCCGGGGCGAAGGCACCACCGTTACTGAGACCTTCCAAAGGTCCAATGGAGCTTATGCTTAGACTTTTGCTCAATTTTTGTTGGTGTTTCTCTGGAGGGACAGGCCCACGGGAGTCCCCTTGTCCACCATTCTTGCTGGCACCAATCTTTTTATTGGGTTAGTTAGTTATCTACTGTGATTGCGAGAGTTTCCCCACATCTTTAATCTTCGGGAAAGTAGCAGTTGGGAGGCCGCGGTCCACTCCGCCGTAAGGACGAGACAAACGGCCTCCCATGGTGGGATATTCAGGCGGGTTCCGGGATTTGGGCCATTCGAGACTCGGGCTGTGATCAAACCCTATCCTGACCCTTCAGGTGGCTTTCTGGGGTTCTTTTCTTGTGATGAAGTCAGAGAAGAAGAGGAGGTCGAAGGACCCTGTGTTGCTGGGTGGTCCCACCCCGTCACCTCAGGTGCAGGGAGAACTCTGTCCCATCTCTGCGAACGCCCACTTTAAATCCATTCTTGACTTTGAGAAGTTTCATATAAAAGCCTGCAGTTCTTTTCATTCTCAGCGTTGGAGTTCAGAGGTCGGACGTTTATGTATTTAGTATCTTATCAGTTCTGGACTAGAATCTCTTGTTGGCCCACTCCTTTCTATTGGGTTGTTTACTGTTTTCTTCTTCATTTCTGAGAGCTTTTGACATATTGAGGCAACTCATCCTTTGCTAAAAATATTTTTATGTAAATACAAATATTCTCTATTTTTTCCTAGATTGTTTGTCCTTTGTGCTTACCACATCCTATGAGGTTTTTAGTACTTTTGAGACCTTTCTGGAGTCAAAGATACCCATCTTTTGTTTGTACACTTTTCTCTTGCTTTAATTACTGGAAAACCTTTCCCTCTTCAGAGATCAGATCACTGTTTATGTATCTCTTCCCCAACTGCTCTCATCGGTACTAGGTTCTGACGCAGAGCTGCCTCTTCTGTCACAGAGATCACCCCCCTGAATTCAGTTTTGCTGAATTTAGTTTGATTTAGTTGTTTGATTTAGTTTGATTTAGTACAGTAAGTCCCACTCAGGACTTTTCTTTTTCACAGTATTCTTGGTTATTCTCGCCCATTTTTGTTCCCAAAACAGCCTTAAGCTCACTCTGTTAAAAAAGAAAACCCAGGGGCGCCCGGGTGGCTCAGTCGGTTGAACGTCCGACTTCGGCTCAGGTCATGATCTTGTGGTTTGTGAGTTCGAGCCCCACGTCGGGCTCTGTGCTGACGGCTCGGAGCCTGGAGCCTGCTTCAGAGGCTATGTCTTTCTCTCTCTGCCCCTCCCCTGCTC